GGGGGAAAATGGGATGGGAGGGAAACCTGGAATTGGGGGAAAATCTGGGAATTGGGGGGAAATCTGGGATTGGGGGGAAACGCAGGGAAAATTGGGGAAAATTGAGAAAAAAATTGGGGAAAATGGAGGGAAAATTGAGGAAAATTGGAGATCCCGGGCTGTGGGTGGGAATTCCCGGGATTTTCCAGGCCCTGGGTGGGAATTCCCGGGATTTTCCAGGCCCTGGGTGGGAATTCCCAGGATTTTCCAGGCCCTGGGTGGGAATTCCTGGGATTTTCCAGGCCCTGGGTGGGAATTCCCGGGATTTTCCAGGCCCTCACCTGTAGACAACGGCGGCTTCCAGGGCACTGGTCACCAGGAGGTTCCAGGAGTCCTCGGGGGCACCTGGGAAAGGGATTTTCCTTGGAATTTCCTTGGTTTTCCGGGAATTCCGGGGGTTTTCCCAGGGAATCCCAAGGTTCTCCTAGGGAATTCTGGGGTTTTCCTGGGAAATTCTGGGTTTTTCCTGGGGAATTCTGGGTTTTTCCTGAGAAATTCTGGGTTTTTCCTGGGGAATTCTGGGAGTTTTCTTAGGAATTTCGGGGGTTTTCTTGGGAATTCTAGGGGGTTTCCTTGGAATTCCGGGCTTTTTCCTGGGAATTTCAGGGTTTTTCCTGGGAATTTCAGGGTTTTTCCTGGGAATTTCTGAGGTTTTCTTGGGGAATTTTGGTTTATTTTCTGGGAAATTCCAGGGTTTTCTCAGGGAATTCCAAGGTTTTTCCCAGGGAATTCCAAATTTTTCCTGGGGAATTCTAGGTTTTTCCAGGGACATTCTGGGGTTTTCTTGGGGAATTCCAGGGTTTTCCTGGGAAATTCTGGGGTTTTCCCAGGGAATTCTGGGTTTTTCCTAAGAAATTCCCAGGTTTTCTTGGGGAATTCTGGGTTTTTCCTGGGAAATTCCGGGGTTTTCCCAGGGAATTCCCAGGTTTTCCTGGGGAATTCTGGGGTTTTCTTGGGAAAATTCCCAGGTTTTTCCCACAGAATTCCAAGGTTTTCCTGGGGAATTCTGAGTTTTTTTTCCTAGGAATTTCGGTGTTTTTCCTGGGAATTTCGGGGTTTTTTCCCCAGGAATTCCCGGGTTTTCCTGGGAATTCCCGCTTTTTCCCCCCGGAATTCCCAGTTTTCCTGGGAATTCCCAGTTTTCCTCACCGTGTGGCTCCGGGGGCAGCGGGAAGAGCAGCACGGAGGAGACGGGTCCGTCCTGCTGGAGGCTCCAGCTCTGCACAACCTCTGACATTCCAGAGGGATTCCAGGGAAAAACGGGAATGTTGGGAGCTGGGATCGGCCCAGAACCCCCCCGGGATCCATCCCAGGGGGAGAAACTGGGAGAAACCGGGAGAAACTGGGAGAAACCGGGAGAAACTGGGAGAAACTGGGATGGGGGGGGACAGGGGAAGAGCGGGAGAGGGAATTCCAGGTGGGAATTGTGGGGATTTTCCAGGGAAAACGTGGATTCAGGGCTGGAGGGTGGATCTGGGATGGGCCTGGAGTCACCTCTGGATCCATCCCAGTGGGATAAACTGGGATAAACTGGGATAAACTGGGATAAAGTGGGACAGGGGGAGGGTCAGGGGGGTAATTCCAGGTGGGAATTGTGGGGTTTTTCCAGGGAAAAACATGGATTCAGGGACAG